TCCACCACACAGCTGTTTGAAGTGACTTTTTCTGGCCAGTGAATCCCTATTTTTCATTTTTCCATTTTTTTTTCACACACACACACACACACACACACACACCTGTCCGGTCCTGAACATTGCCGTTTCCGGTTACACGTCCCCTCGTGTGAGGGGCCAACAGACATGGAGAGTTGGGTTGAGGCGCTGTGTCGCATCAACGACCTAGCGAGATTTCCTAGCCATTTCATTGATCCATTTCACCCCCCCCCCCCCCACACACACCCACACACATGTACATTGATGCCGGACCACAGCACAATCTAGTTACGGGCAGTCCTCGGTCCCAACCTACCCGGATCGAGCGAGTTTTACTCTACATGTTTTGATGCAGCACGGAACACGGAACCGCAACCTAACCAGGCGGAGGAGGTCTAAAGCCGCAACACGGAACCGCAACCTAACCAGGCGGAGGAGGTCTAAAGCCGCAACACGGAACCGCAACCTAACCAGGCGGAGGAGGTCTAAAGCCGCAACACGGAACCGCAACCTAACCAGGCGGAGGAGGTCTAAAGCCGCAACACGGAACCGCAACCTAACCAGGCGGAGGAGGTCTAAAGCCGCAACACGGAACCGCAACCTAACCAGGCGGAGGAGGTCTAAAGCCGCAACACGGAACCGCAACCTAACCAGGCGGAGGAGGTCTAAAGCCGCAACACGGAACCGCAACCTAACCAGGCGGAGGAGGTCTAAAGCCGCAACACGGAACCGCGACCTAACCAGGCGGAGGAGGTCTAAAGCCGCAAGGAGCTAGATCAATACCGGTATGGCCATTTCAAAATCCTACTCCACAGTACAGTGTGGACTCGGATGGAGAGCCAAGGATTAATTTATCAGGGAATAATTTAACCGCTATCGCATCGCAGTTTGCTACGCAATTCTTCTGAGGTGCGAAGCAACTTCAGAAATGTGTCGCAGAAAACTGCGATGCATATTGATTTTTTACTGTACCCTATGCTGCACAGTGTACACAGTGTACGGGTGTGTCACTTAGGGATAAAATAGATGCACAAAACATCGAAAGTGCTGAGCTATGCATCCTGGCACCAGGCTAGGTTTGCAACTAAGGTGTTACAGTGTACTTGTGGTCTGAGCTTGCACTCTGACCAGCTCTCCGGAAGGACGGTTGTCAAGTGTTGAAGAAAATTGCTACGCAACATTTTGCATTGCTATTCAAGTTTGATTTTGCGTAGCAAAATTGCCATGCAAAAGATTGAAAGGAAATTATTCCCTGTTTATAGAAAAGCAAAAGGACCAAGGAACTACAAGTTATGCTATAATGTCCACTAACACCACCAGTTACTAAGCAATCAACAAGTAAATTGTAGTTCCTTGGTCCCTTTTTTTCTTTTCCCCAGTACAGTGAAAGTAAATATAGTACAGTACACACTACACTTGGTAAAGACACCTACACGCAAAACAATGCGCCGCGCCTCGCGCACAATGTTGAAACCGGGCCAGAAGCCATGCTCCACAATCACCTGTAGACACACGCACGTACACACGCAAGCACCCAAACACACACACCACATATACGCGCGCGCACACACACACACACGCACACACACACACACACACACACACACACACACACACACACACACACACACACACACACACACACACACACACACACACACACATAAACACACGTGCATGCACAGCAAAGAGCAATGTTTCAATACCTAGAAACAACAGGTAACTGACACCAACACATCCTCCACATACAGTAAAACCTGGTTTTAGCGACCACCTGCTTTTAACCACCGTTTTTCCATGCACGGACAGTTCTACACATAAGCTGCACCGGATACAGTGACCACCTGCCTTGCGCAACCAGCGACCGACGTTTAGTGTACCAAGTCCCATATTGGATCTGCACACACCGACCAAAACTAACCAAGAGTGCCATCTTGGCTGGCAAGGTTGACTGCAACATGGTTAAAGTGCGCTTTGAAGCAAGTGCATGCAGTGAACAGAAGTGACAAGTGACAGTGCAGGATGCGCTGCATGCACTTGAGTGAGATGTGCTTTGCTTGCACGGAAGTGGTCAATATGAGTACATAGAAGTACAATCATGCACATGTATCCACACAATCCGATATGCCACGAATTTACGGGACCTGGTTCTAAAGACCACCTGGCTTTAACGACCACGTTTGCTTGCACCGTGGGGTGGTCGCTTAAACCAGGTGTTTACTGTACCTGTTGCCAGAGTGCCTTGGCCAGGAAGAACACATCAACGGAAACATTGCACATTTAGCTGTCAACAAAAACATAACTGTTGCCTCACCAGGTATTTCTCTGTTTTCTGCCAGAGCGTCTCGATGGCTCTCCACCGGTCTTCTTCCGAGGTGAGCTCACTGAGAGAGTGCGCTGCAATGACAACGTCATACTTCACATCGGTGGACACGGGCATGAAGTTGCGATAGAAGACGTTCTTGAACGACGGCCGCGACTTGGCATCGCCCTGCCTGTGCAGGACGTTAGCCATGTCCGTCATTGTCGACGACGTGTCCACACACACGTACTCCTTTATTGACTTGCCCCATACGCTGTTAGCAGCCCTGTACGCGCAGTGGCATAGCAAGCGGAAAAAAATGCGAGCAATGCAGCAAACCACGGTCATGCACTCCGGCAAAACAAGATAAGGAAAAGTAAAAGCTAGCTTCTCCAAAGAAGGTGATTTTTTAAAAAAGTTGGCTTGCGCAATGCAAGCCGTAATTAATTTCAATGTCACAGAGCCGCATCTCCTGCATGGAGATATTGTCCGCTGACATGCCAAAACTGGCATTGTCGAGTACGAACTCCGCTGCAGGTCATACGCAACCCGCTGGGGCCTCGCATGCACAACCGCCACGGGCGTACCGCATGCCGTGTAAGCCACCTAACGTGACATGTATCTGCCTTGGTCGCAGTCGCACCCAAGGCGACTCTTGCAAGGCAGGAACAATTGAAGACATTTCCGCCAGTTGCTTGTATGGTGACCGGACTATGCTGACTACCGGTATAAGCGAGCTAGGCGCTTGGTTACTACCTTAAGATGCATAGATGCTGAGATAGGCCAGTTCTTAGAGACAAGCGGACCCGGATAGTCTCTACACAAGCCGGGATGTACCTTCAACTGCATGGTCTGAGGCCCCCTGAACTGACCGGCCTCTACAGTACAGACAGACGTTCTTGTACTGCAGTGGTTGTTTCAAACACACACACACACACACACCCTCTCCTGTACAGTGTATGTAAATAAGCCATTATGAAGAGTACGCAAAGTTCCCCAGAGTGTGTAACTCTGGATAGCCTTCCTATTGGATCTGCCGACGGCGAAAACTCATCTCACTTGGTGTAGGGTTCCCTTTGTACGTTCCCAGCCCGTTTTAGCAGGCAGTGGAGTAGTAAAAATAGCACTATCTGACAGAAATCCACTCAGCTTAAGCGAGTCATCCGCAAGATCATGGCAGGTATTCAGACTGTGTGCACGCTGGCTTTCTTCGTGCGTAGCAGTACGAATCGTACTTGGAACACGTGATGTGGGTTTTCGCCGTTGGAGACTCCATATGCAGAGTTGCACACTCTTGGGAGCTTGCTTATTCTTGCCATTATCAATGCCAGTAGTTGCAATCGACATACCATGTAGCTGACCCTAGCCCAGAGCCGAAGTCCAGCACGTGTTTTGGCTCAAAATCAGGCATACGTTTGCGAATCTGAAAACAAGAAAACCGAGACAAACCAGTAAGAATTGCAAATAGCATCGTCTCCTGGCCGGTACAAACATACATTGCACAGACTTAGAGAACAGAAACACCCACACATGTATGCACTCAAGAACATGCGCACGCATACGCACGCACACACACACACGCACGCACACACACACACACACACACACACACACACACACACACATCCACACATACCCACACACACACGCACGCACACACACACACGCAACACACAACACACCATGTACCATGTATACGCCCATCGCAAGAGAAGCACGCAAATCTGCAAATGCACTGGATGTGCACCCACGGATTTTCTCTTATAGCAACGATAGCGAACAAGATCTGAATGAGACAGATCTAGACTTGCGCCAGATAACTGCCTAATCCACACAACTGGCGAAGCCATGTCAATCGACCACCAATGCACACCTGGTCTACACCACACGAAGTATATCGGCATAAAACGGCCAAGACAGTTACCTATGCACACCCTACACTTGCTGGGGTAACCAGTATAGACAGCACGCTGCCCATACACACATGCACACACACACACATACACACACACACGCACGCGCGCGCGCACACACACACACGTACACACTCACATACACACACACACACACGCACACACACGTACACACGACTGCACACACACACACACACACACATACACACACACATGCACACACACACATGCACACACACACACACATGCACACATACACCTTTGGACCTTTGGAAAGCCCATCGCCGAAGGCGATGATAGCTATTAGGCGAGGCAGTAGTTCTTGTGTTGGGATAAATCATTCGGACGGCGAAAGTCGCGGCCGCAGACACAGACGAACACTCTTGGTTGGGGCTGGCTTGGTGGCTTCCGACGGCTACGCTCACACCAGTCCCTCCGGTCCTGAGCAAGGTGGTAGCATTGCGCCTCCGGGATACCGGTCGCACGTAGGTCTGAAGCTGCCACATCTCTCCAACGACGCTTGGGTCCATAGCGGGGCCGCGTGTTAGTGCCCTCCGCAAACAGGATCTGCTTTGGCAACCTGGTGTCGTCCATCCTTGCGAGGTGACCAAGCCATTGCAGGCGATTTGCACGAATGGACTCCTCCAGCGAGGCTGGCATGCCGCTGCGCTTCGCCAGGTCTTCACTTGACAGATGTTCCTGCCACTGCTGGTCTCGAGTGACACTCAGAATCGTGCGAACACACTGCCGATGGAACGTGTCCAACCTGCGCAGGAGGGGTGCCTTCAGCGTCCATGTCTCAGAACCATACAGCAGCACTGTACGGACCACGGCCTGGTAGACGTGACGTCGGATTCCAAGCGATAGACCCGAGTTCCGGAAAATTGGTTGGAGGAGGCTACCAAACACCCTCGATGCCTTGGCAAGACGAGTAGTGACTTCGGCATCCAGCTCTCCATCGTCGCTGATCGTACTGCCGGGGTAGGTAAATTTGCTGACCACGCCGATCATGTCACACACATACACACACACACACATGCGCACACACACACACATACACACACACACATGCGCGCACACACACACACACACACACACACACACACACACACACACACAGGGCTCACCTCGTTCAGCACACGATACGTCACTGCATAGTGACTGTCCAGTCGACTGGCCATATACGCGACAGCTTCTCTGCTACCATACCTAATGAGCCACAGCAACCAACCCAAGACACATACAACATGACAACGTGCAGACACAATGAATCTAGAATGCACAGAAGGCATAAGTAACTGCAGTCATGGCCACAGAGATCAGACCCGCACGTCAAAAGTAGCAGCTCGTTTAATTTTAATTGCATCCTCCACATTCCAAAACCCGATCCGAGGGCCACAGGGACCGCTCAAGCTTTGGCGCTGCTTTCGGCATGTTTGTTGGATTTCTTTGGCCAAAACTGTACAAGGACACTACACTCGGTCCATGGATTGCTACTAGGGGTGAAACGATTAGTTCGAACATTCGAGTATTCGTTCGAAAATTTCGAACGAGCGATTATTCGAAATTTTGCACTCGATCGTTTTTTTATTTTTTATTTTTTTAGTATTGGCATTCTATTATTTTTTCAAAAGCTTTTGTTGTATATCGCTCGTCGCATGGTATGCATGCGTTGTGCATGCCTTTGAGTCAGTATTTTATGACTTAGACGATGCGATCACCATGGCAAGTAACGTTAATGGAAGTTTCCGGAGGAGGAAGGAGGAAACTGTAGTTATCACCAACCCTCACCGCGCCCAGCTCACGCCGCTACGGCGTGCGACCTGAGCTGGGCGCCCTGCCGTGCAGTATGGAACTGTCCTCAAGCCAGGCACGTATTTGGCAGCCCAGTGAGCTGTCTACCGGATCGCAGCGTTTAGAAGCGCCAAATGCGGCAGGGCCAGTCTCAGGCTGGTCGCGTAGGCGGCAGGCCGGCGGGCGACCGGCAAGGCTGCATTCGCATTCGGATCACCGAAGTGATACAGGTGCTTCGACGGCACCCCGTGGCGCATCAGGGAGGCATCTGGGGCCCAGGCAGCCCGCCCGTAAGCGCACCACCGTATCAGGTATGCGCAGGTGGAGCAGCAGAGCAAGATGTGTGCCGGACAACCATCATCCGGTCGACTGCATGGTTGTGCGACTTTACACAGCCGGCACTCATTACTTGCTATTGCTTGCAGAAGGCCAGAATTTTTTTTTCTTTTTCGCTCTTTCCCTTCTTCCAGCCACGGCTTCATGTTAGAGCAGTAAATTGCAGTTAGGGACTCAGCTGAGTCAAGCTGGACTCAGCGTGTCAAGTTTGGCATAATACAATAAGCGTGCTATCCCCAAACAATTGTGTGGTTATTGTGTGAGTGTATATGCAAGAGTCCGCGGTCATGTGACCGTGAGGGGGGAGTGATAAGTAATAGTTATGAGGTATGAAAGTACTAATGAAATCGTTACTTTACACTCTGTACAAGATGTTGGCGACTTTTGTTCCATGTTCACAGATAATTTCTTCCGAATTGGTCGAGAACTCACAAATCTTGCGCTTTTGAATTTTGATAAAATACTCGAAATAATCGGATACTCGATCGAATATTATGAATGAGTGATCGATTGGTCAAAATAGATACTCGTTTCACCTCTAATTGCTACATTCACCAACAAAACAAACCAAACCAAGGGCTGCTTATGTACTCAGAGGCAGCAAGTGCCAGGAACCCCTTCACCTGCAGACGCGTACACAGGGTCACCTCTAGGGGGGTTTCCAAACGAATCGCAAACAATGACTCGTTTTAACCCTTTCTAAAGAGCCCTAGGAATTTTTCAAAATTATGCAATTTTTCGTGTTTTTGGATCATAACTTCAGTTCTACTCACTCAATCTTCATTATCTTGGGCTTCCTGGAAGTGGAAAGGTACCAGGGAGAGAATGAGGTCGACCATGATAGCCAGGACACAGTACAGTCATGTACATATCCAACGCTATGGCTATTTATAGCGGTAGAGTGCAGCGACGGTGCGAAAAAATGCCCCAAAGGCCCAAACGCGTCCTGCTCCAGCGCTTTAGTTTTTCTTGATCGCAGAGTTTCGATTTTTTGGCTGTGTTCTCTTGAAAATATCACAAGTGAAGCCCCTGCAAAATTGAGCAAGTCAGCGCGACGAAAAAGTCTCAAATTCTGGATACTCCAGTCGCACTGCGCGCTTTTGAAATTGCGAGATGGCGGCTCAACTTACGAATGATTTACCTCAAGAGACATTGCTCGCAGCGCGTCGAAAATTGTTTCAACCGACAGCTGAGAGTTTTCTATTCGACCTGGATATTTGGATCGTTGGATTTGAGCGAGATTTGACTGAGTTGCGATCCGTTGAAGTTTTGCATTCTTGCCAGATCGATCGTGCGCCCTACCAAAAATGCGCAAAAACGTTGCTCGTTTGGAACATTTGGGGGGTTTCCGGGCAACGGGAACCCCCCCCCCCCTGCGTACGCGCCTGACCTGGCCGAACTTAGTTTGCCGACAATAAGAAAAGTGTAACTTATTTCAATTGTTCAACTCGGATGGTGAGTCAATTAAATTATGATGAAAAAGGAGAAGGACAAAATGTTACGAGTTATGACTAACTGTCCACCAACGTAACCAGATCATACAGTCAGCGAGTGCGACAAAATGGCACAAAACTGACAAGGAGTACTGAGACATTCGGCGACCTGACACCTAGCTCCAACACTTCTCCAAGGCGCAAACCAACAACCTTCCAACTTGGAAGGCTCAGGTTCAGAAAGGTCCAAGAGGGGAAGGAAAGCGCAACGAAGAAGAGCACGAGCTATACAGTCCACTTCGCGTATAACGACACTCGGCTGGGCATCAGAAAAGTGTCGTTATTCGCGAAGTGTCGTTATACCCGAAGTCTCATTATATGTATTACAATGGGGTGGGACTTTGCTCTGGGCATGGAAATTCTGTCGTTATTCGCGAATTGTCGTTATATCCACAGTCGTTATTGGCGAAGTTGACTGTAGTCTTATTAGTTGCGTCATCATCCAGTAACTTTCGGCATTCTTTGTTGCCGTGATGCGTAGCTCGTGCTCTTCTTTGTTGCGCTTTCCTTCCCCTCTTGGACCTTTCCGAATCTGAGCATTCCAAGTTGGAAGGTTGTTGGTTTGCGCCTTGGATAAGTGTTGGAGCTATTATAGGTGTCAGGTCGCCGAATGTCTCAGCACTCCTTGTCAGTTTTGTGCCATTTTGTCGCACTCGCTGACTGTATAAGATCTGGTTACGTTGGTGGACAGTTAGTCATAACTCGTAACATTTTGTCCTTCTCCTTTTTCATCATTATTTCAATTGGGTTTCCCTTTCAGCTGTAGTGCCGATGACCATGTCAATGCTAAATTCTGGGTTCGAGCAGCACTGTTGTTCATCACTTGCAGGCTCGGCCCAATTTCTCTTTGCTACACTACGGGGTACATGTATATGGATGGTACATAGGATGAACCAGTGCTGCCTGGAGAACTGCTTTCACACAAACATATCACCAAGAATAACCAAGAGTGAGCAGCTCCTATCCTGAGCTGCGACGAGCTTGCCCACGGTGCAATTGTTTCATTGCGTCTTTATTTGGCAGAAGTAAAACCAGGTGTGTATACTATTCCATGCTTGTCATGTACATACCGTATTATTTCTAATATAAGCACGGTCCTTTATTTTTTCAATGTACCTCCGCCCCGTGCTATTAATGGAGACGTTCCTTTATTGGAGACTGTTCCATTGTTATTTCAACTTCATTTCAGAGGCATGTTGCCATGCCAAATTCATGTCAGACACACATTCCAGGGTTTTTTCGCCGGTACAGATAATGAATGTACACAGTGTGCTTATAATGGAGACTGAGCACTATATTTTTTGAATGCCGCCCCAAGGTGTTCTATTTTTGGAGACGTGCTATTATTGGAGACTGTGCTTATATTAGAGATAATACGGTATCAGGACACACGGATCTACTGTCTGTTGTTCTGCGTCTACTGTTGTAGCGGCGATGTACGTGTACAAGTTTGTTGCATTTTTGATCTCTGGCTAAGCATTGCGTCATCAGTGAGCCAAGTGGACGCAAAAGACGAATGTCATAATACAATTCCACCGTGGGCTGAGAGATCGTTGAGTTGCACACTCTTGGTTATGTACTCTTGACAAGCACCCTGACAACAATAGGACAGCATTTACCGGACTGCCGTATGTTTGGGGATGAGTCTCTTTCCGATGATTGGCACTTCAAACCAAGGCATGTCACTTTCCACATAGGTCTCCATCACTTTCTTCTCTGACAGATGATATGCAGCATGGGACAAGAACACAAAACACAGATGATGAGGACATATAGAGACCATTGTATATGGAGAGAGAGAGAGAGAGAGAGAGAGAGAGAGAGAGAGAGAGAGAGAGAGAGAGAGAGAGAGAGAGAGAGAGAGAGAGAGAGAGAGAGAGAGAGAGAGAGAGAGAGAGAGAGAGAGAGAGAGAGAGAGAGAGAGAGGAGAGAGAAAAAGAGAGAGAGAGAGAAAGAGAGAGAGAGAGAGAGAGAGAGAGAGAGAGAGAGAGAGAGAGAGAGAGAGAGAGAGAGGAGAGAAAGAGAGAGAGAAAGAGAGAGAGAGAGAGAGAGAGAGACGCACATACACAAGAGCATCCAAACACACGCACATGCTCGCACACACACACACACACACACACACACACACACACACACACAAAACACAAAACAAGAACAAAAGAGAGGAGAGACAAAGTGGGTTGGGGGTGATCATAATGCAACTCAGCCTGGGCTGGTCTACAGGCAGACTTTGTCGGCTTCTCAACTTTTCTTGCAGCGAGGTATCCGTTTGGTACGTAAACGCACAGTGGGTCTTTAGTTTTGCTGAGCACATGTCCGAGATATCTTGGACGCAGCCTCCTTGCCAACCAGCCCAAGAGTTGCACAACACACATAGAAACCCCCTTAGAGGCATACTGGCTTGGATTGATAGCTACATAGGGCGTAGAGAGAAAGGAAAATGACACAACCACATTGGAGTGTTTGTGTTTGTGTGTGTGTGTGTGTGTGTGTGTGTGTGTGTGTGTGTGTGTGTGTGTGTGTGTGTGGTCAGCTTTTCAAGAGATCTAAGCGTGGTAATGATATGGTCATCACAGATGGTGAGTTTGCTGATGATGCAGCCTTGTTTGCACCCAGCCACTCGGATGCTCAGCGTATGCTTGAGATATTTGCGGAGGTCAGTGGAGCATTCGGGCTGTCTCTCAACATGGCAAAGACAGTGTTCATGGCTGTTGGGCATCAGATCAACGACAGTGACCGTACCCCGCTAAGCGTACAAGGCAACGCCATCCAGCATGTCAGCCAGTTTACATATCTCGGCTCAGTGGTAACACCAGACGGACGATGCCACACCGATGTGTCCAACCGCATAGCTGCTGCATCTAAGGCCTTTGGCAGCCTCTACTCGTCAGTTTTTCGGAACACTTCACTAACATCCAAGACGAAACAACACACGTACACATGCTGTGTGTTGTCGGTGCTGTTGTACGGGGCTGAGAACTGGACACTGTTGCGTGCCGACATACGTCGCCTTGAACAATTCCACAACCGCTGCGTTCGTGTCATTCTCGGCATCTCGCGTTCCAAACAGTGGGAGGACCACCTGTCATCTGCCTCGCTGCATAGAATGTGCGCTACAGAGCCAGTTGCTGACATGGTTGCCCGTCGACGGCTGCAGTGGCTTGGCCACATTGCCAGGATGGACGACCACCGGCTTCCAAAGGCAGTGTTGTTCTCGTGGCTCCATACTCCACGCCCTGCTCATGGCCCCAGGCGTCGATGGCGTGATGTGGTACGCGATGACCTCAAAGCGTTCGGTCTATACACCGGTTGGTACGACCTCGCAGCTGAACGTGGCGAGTGGATCCAGTCCATCTCGGATGCTATTGTTGCACGGCGTTTACGCCTTGAAACGACAGCCAAGTCAGTGTGTTGTGCGATCTGTGAGCGACTCTTCGCCAGTGAGAGCGGACTTCGGCGGCACAAATGCAGGGAAGAGCGACTGAAGCCGATCCATGAACAGGCCGGTGCTGTGTTGTGCGAAACGTGCCATCGTTGGTTTGCTAGCCGAGGTGGATTTGCTGTGCACAGCTGCTCTCCCAGTCTTGGTGACGCTCTAGTTCCAGAGATTGTTGCACCTCGCCCACCTGATTGCAGCCAATGTCATTACCACTGCCACACCTGTGACCGCTGTTTCCGGAGCAAAGCTGGGCACCGCCGGCACAACTGCAACTGCAACCGCAGAACATGCAGCTCTGGCTCCGAGCGCCGCACCATCCCATGCCCGACCTGCTCTCGGAAGTTCACACGTCTCCAGTACCTGGCTCAACACAAATGCAAGAAGTAACTCTGCCCTCCTTGCCTCTTTGAGGCACTGCATCACCTTTAGGTGGCAGTTTCAAGGTTTCAAGGTTTCAAGGTGTGTGTGTGTGTGTGTGTGTGTGTGTGTGTGTGTAGCGTGGGGAGTGCAGTGCGTACGTGCATGTACACATGCGAACACCGATGTAAACTCGGGAGTATATCTGACACAGTAATACAGCAGGCAAAACAACACACCGTCAATTAACGGCCGGTGACGCAGCTTTGCAGCGAAAATGTGTGGTGTGAAGTCCGGCACGATCTCCGTCCAGGGAATGTTCCTGTTGTAGAGATACTTGGAAAGGCGAATGCCATCCATGGTGTACTGGCGACACTGGAACGCTGCAGAGACATAGGCAGAGAAGCCAGAGACATGGGCAGTCACAAACCATGTGTTAACTGTGCAAGGAAGCAGCTGCCACTCGTCAGCAGGAATCCCACACAGTTGCTATGTGAGCGAATTTCGTGGAACTTCTCAAGAGGCGTACATGCCCAGTACGAGGTTCAAATTATCAACCATCGATATGTGGAAATCGTGTTGACTGAAATCAGTTCTGGAAGAGAGTTCCAAGTAATATTCTAAGCACACCAATCCAAAACATGCACATTCCCTCGTGTTTTCATTATTTGCCATTCTAAGCTGGCAATATCAAAGGTATACGACGCGCTCCCGCTTTTCTAATGATCGCACAAGGTGATAGATTATGAGAACTTACGACGACACTCTGCTTTCTGCACACCGCTTTTCTAATGATCGCACAAGGTGATAGATTATGAGAACTTACGACGACACTCTGCTTTCTGCACACTGAACACCGCTGCTACATGACATTGTATAGTGTTTTAAAAAAAGTGTGGGGAAAACGGCAAAAGCTCATTTCGCCCCTTTTAAATAATTCAGTTCGACAAAGAATTTTGGATAACTGACTGTTCGGATAATAAACGTTCAAAAACTCGGCATCCCACTGTAGTGGCTTCACATCTTTGTCACGTGACTAAATTTATGTAGAAAGTGATCATGTCACGTGGACACTGGAACAAACATGGCCAGCATCATGTGACCCATACCGGTAGATGGAGGGGGGGGGGGGGGGGTAGGGTCAGACCAAATTTGCTAGCAATTCCTCGAGCAAAATATCGAAAACTCCCGGAAAAGAAATTGCTAGCAAAACCGAGCAAAATATCGATGTTTCTCTCCAAATTCACTGCGCATATACAACTACTTGTACGGTGCAAATGGCTCACTTTTCGTCATTTTGCCAACATGTGACCCACTTTTGGCAATTTGTCAAACACGCGACCCACTTTTGGCCAATTTTCAAACACGTGACACACATTTTGCCTCAAATTTGAGCAAAAAAGGTAGCAAAATATCGAGTTGACTTGGCAAAATGTAAGCAAAATCTTGCGGCAAAATATTGGTGTCGGCCGAGAAAATTTGGTCTGACACTAGCAGGGGGTTGACTGGATGTGGAACCAACATGGCTGTCCTGTATGGTCATGTGATCGATGTGAAACTACCTACTTATATAGACTATAACCGGTACGTAAATTTTGCCATGATGGTGAGCCTGCGGAACCGCATATGGGCGCTATGCATACAGCATGAATCGGCTAGTGTACCGCTGTGCCACGATTTTGCCGAAGCATCTCAACTGATGGTGTAATCGCATCTCTACATTACGAACTATCAGGTACCCATGAACCATCGAGCCAAAATGCAAAGTTGATGATGATCTACATTGTCGAATTTGTTTGTAGCACTACTGTAGCAACTGTCAGTACACTACTCACTACTCACATTTCAATACTCACATTTCAATACTTTTCGCACCGCCTTGTGGAGTTTCGGCGGCAGGGTGTCAAACATGAAGCCCAGCCTCTCACACGGGAATGGAAAGTACTCCAATGGTTCACCATCACCACCTGCCTTTGCCTTATCCTTCTTTCTCTGCGGCATTTCTTCATCATCTCCTACGACTGTGGGCTCATCAGGACTCTTCTCTGGTCTGCTTTTTGATCTACTCAACTCTCTTACAATTGCATCAACATCATAGGGCTGTCTGTCTTCGTCCACTGGTGTTTTCTTTCTGGGAATGTAACGACTCGGTCGAAAGGTTTCCTTTGGCACCTTGTACTTCTCGCCATGAAAGTCTCCAGGGTTGGCAACGTTATCTCCGGACGGCACTGTAAATGCATCTCTGCTGGAGATGTTCACAGGAGAAGCAGCAGGTAGCCACGGCCTGGGATGCTGGACCGGAGCACATGTGCATCGCGGCAGCACGGCACCTAGTCTGAGCATAGCGCTATGCACGGGCAATGCTCCATCAATAAGCGGCTTCAACACAAACGCAACATCAGCTTGCGGAATTAGATCTAGATAGAAGGACAATGATCATTCAATGAGAATATTTAAAATTGAATACAATTAAATAATTATTATTTTCGTTTGTACATCGGTCATCATAAAAATTATTCACAGCGCTAGCGTGCGCGTGGCGCCATATGGTCTATTATGGTGATCGAGTCGAGTCACGTGCACAGCATGCACGTCACTGTCGTCAGCAGATAGATCGAGACGAGAACTCACTGGAAGCCAGGGAGTAGTAGAATATCTACTCCCTGCTTCATATCATGCACTGATGCAGTGCACGTGCACGATCATGCATCATCAAAAATAATTAATTACACAGCATGCATGCGCGCATGGCATCGATCTTGATGGCATGCGCATAATCATGTGCATGCATGCTATTTTCTGCCAAGTACAGTAATTAGTTGCCGACGTCCTTTTTTTTGAAGAGCATTTAAAAAACAGACTGGATCATTGGATGCATGCACAGAAGGTATAAACTGTCGAAAAGTAGGAAGGAAATAGTTGCTGTAATTCTCTTTCGAATCTTCTAGAAAAACCCAGGTACTTCTTTGATAGAACCTTCAAATAGCAGGTATTTGGCTTCGAACCTCTCAGTTCTTTCTGATCACTGCAATCCTTTCGGCAGGTCGTGAGCGAAACTGAGAACAACAAAAAAATATGTCTTGTGGGAGCTCGGAGACGCGCGCTAGCTGCTGTGGTGGCGGCAGCTCCAGTCAGGATCAGATCAACCCCAATTCGGCCACAGAAGTGTACGACAGCGTCAAGGATTATTACGGCAAGCGGCTTCAGGGTAGCGATGATCTGAAGACGTCCGCCTGTACCACTGGCGCATCGGCCATGCCCAGATACATTCGCCAAGCCATTGCTGAAGTGCATGATGAGGTGGTGAAGCGCTACTACGGCTGCGGACTAGTGGTACCGCAGCTTCTGCAAGACGCTCACGTACTGGACCTGGGCAGTGGTGCTGGTCGTGACTGCTTTGTGGTGAGCAAGCTGGTGGGTGAGAAGGGTAAAGTAGTCGGTGTGGATATGACGGAGGAGCAGCTGCAGGTAGCAAGACAGCACATTGAGTATCACCGAGACAAGTTCGGCCTTTCCAAGAGCAACGTAGAGTTCCGACATGGCTACATTGAGAAGCTTGGCGAGGCCGGGTTGGAGGACGGAACGTTTGATGTCATCATGTCCAACTGTGTCATCAACCTGGTGCCGGACAAGGAGGCTGTTTTGAGAGAGTCGTACCGCGTGCTCCGCGACGGCGGGGAGCTGTATTTCAGCGATGTGTACTCATCAGCTATCGTTCCGGATGATCTTCGCAAGGACGCCGTGCTCTGGGGTGAGTGCATCTCCGGCGCACTGTACTGGGAAGACCTAATCTCTCTGGCCAAGAAAGTCGGCTTCGCCACACCACGGCTGGTACGTGCTGCACCAATCGATATGAACACAGAGGAGATGCAGGCAAAGCTAGGTGATCTGCGCTTCGTGTCGGCCACGTATCGTCTAGTTAAGGTGCCAGTGTCGGAGCAGGAGGCCAAGTCTCAGAAGGTCACCTACAACGGCGGCGCGCTGAACAACCCTGATGAGCTGGAGTTTGACCAGACCGTCTCCTTTCCGGCGCAGACGGCGGTCACCGTGTCGGCCGCCGTCACGGCGATCCTGCGTTCGTCCCGCTTTGCTCGCTACCTGTCCTTTGCGGACGCGCCGTGCTGCGCGCCGACTCCGGCTGATCCCGATCTGAACCCGTTTGTCCTGTCTGATCGTACCCCCGCTGCGGCTGCGTCGGGTGGCGGCTGCTGTGGTGGTGGTACTGGCAGTAGTACTGACAAGGACAGCACCGGCTGCGGCCCGCCAGCTAAGAAGTCATGCTGCTAGTTTCAGTCCTGGTACATGTAGTGAGCGGTCGCAAGTAACACTATCGGATTTCTCCCAGCAGTCTTCACTGACAAGATAACACTTCAGAAGCGTGTTCATATTATGAAGCGTGTGAACCGTCGGTATAGCGGCGTATGGCTTCCCTCTTCCTTGAAATAGTGTGATATTTCGATGCGTTAGTGAACGGCGTGAAGACGCAACTTTTTTAAATTGTACACACGTGTGTGCGAGAAAATCAAACTCATACCCTTATTATTGATAATTTATAATATATTCCTGGTGCTGTGAAGAAATCTAGTTTAGTGAGTGTCATGCCGTGCGTGTCATTTACACATTTGACGAAATGCGAATACTGCAACTTTCATACGATACCATTATGTAATTTATGTGTGTGGTATGAACTAGCTAGAAGAGATCCACTTTTGGGTGCCGGCGGCCATTTGTTTCTCTCACAACATTGAAGTATCTTTGTATGTTTTTGTTTTTTAGGTTTTGAAGTGTGCACTGTTAGTACTCTTTAGTAGCCTATGGCTTGTAGAACTTTTACTGTTGGTTTGTACCACTTTCCCCTTCCACATTACATTAGCCTTGGTGGTTCTAATCGAATACTACTGTGTCGGCCACGGAGCTCTTGCAACAGTGATGAAATGCTGCTGTTGATCGTGCCTGTGCGCTTTTGTGTCGCTCGCTATCATGGTGTGAGTCCGCTGCTACTGGCACAGGCCCGCGCCAGCTCTACGTATTTACGTACATACTGGTATGTACAGTAACTGTTGATTGCCAGAGCTTATCCCAGTGGTGAACCACACTGGTCTTGCAGTCGTCGCATGAATGCTTCATTGCATTGTACAGTGACCACCCCACGGTGCAAGCAAAAGCGGTCGCCGCGAAAGCCAGGTGGTCTTTAGAACCAGGTCACACAGTGTCTGTGTAGACCTGTTGGTGCATGGAAAAACGGTCGTTTATGAGCAGGTGGTCACTAAACACAGGAGGTCGCTTACACCAGCTTTTACTGTACTAGCCTGCGCTGTATTGGTATTGATGTGCGTGTGCATACGAGTGCAGCAGAGGAGTTTGAACTTGGCAATTCAAGTTCATTTCATTTCACCCTCAATCCAGATGCTTGTGATTCGCAAGCTTCTATAGTCAGACCTCCCTTATAATTATGGTCCTCTTTTATCCGGATCCCTCGCCATCCGGAAGAAAATCGTTGGTTACCGATGTACAGCATATGTCATGCATACATACAGTATGTGTGTTCGATTATCCGGTTCCCTCACCTATCCGGATATGTTTTGTGGGAAGCGGGTGTGTGCGGTTATGCGAGGCCTGACTGTATCACTGGATATCTTTCTGATTTTTATTGCGCCTGCAAATCTGAAAACAAAACCAACTGCCATCACATCTTCAAATAATTATGATACGATTTTTCTTTTCGCCGGATAAAAGGCAAATTGAATTGTTGATAAAATAATCGATAACTGAGCATGAGGTGACAAGGAGTAATAGAATGGCGATAAAAGCAATAAGGAAATGTAGAATTGGAATAGTGGACTCGGACGAAGAGCCAAGGATAAATGTATAGAAAAGAAAAAAGGACCAAGGAACTTGTAGAACGTCAGTACTGTCGGTCAGTGTCGTGCAATGTTATCGCATGAGCTGATTGTTTAGTAACTGGTGGTGTTAGTGGACATTATATAGCGAAACTTGTAGTTCCTTGGTCCTTTTTTCTTTTCTATAGAATTGGAATACAATGTAAACAGTGAGGAACAATGATAATATTGTTGTTTCCGAGTAAATTCTCTAAATGAGCGGGTATTCATGTGCAACAAACCAACCATTTCAAAACACTTTCCCTGGATAATCATTCATAAGCCAGGTGCCTATCTCAGAAGGCAGTTTTCATCAGAGTGTGGACCATACAAGGAAATCCCGGCATAGAGTTCTAACACCGAAACGAGTCAGTTTGAGGTTGATCTGAGCATCCTTGATCTAGGTTACCCAAATGCTGCCCCGCTGTAGCAGCACAGCCACACTCACTGTCCGTGATCCGTGACTCCGCACTTGAATAACATCACGGCATGCTATTTGTCACAAACAAACTGTTCCCAGCTCTGGGAACCAATATACGCACGATGCTCGGAGGAGCAGAGCAGGAAAGCCATGGCGAGTACCCGCAAGCATGGGCGGCACAAACTGCAACAGTATGACAGCAGAAAGCACTGACTGTTGCAGGCCAACAGGCACAGCGTTACGGAGCATGTCTTGGCTCTGAAGACCGCCAGAATGCCAAAAGACTAGTTCCAAGAGGACACAATCTGGACCTGGCAGGGGCAGTGCTGCATCGCGCTGCTGTGGAATCACCGGGGAGTGCCATAATAGGCTCCGGGTTTTAAAATATGCTGCATCAACAGTATCTCAGTCTAGCTCTAATTGAGGAGGACGTCACATTTAACTCCTGGCGCACTTGGCCTTTGCTGCAGTAACCGTTAGATTCAGCTGCCCGCCGACTTCTCCAATGCTGACATTGCATTCAGCTGATGGAGTATAGAATTGTAATGGAAGTAATGACTTCTCCATAGCGTACCGTTGAACCCCATCCTGGCCTTGAGACCTTCGGCCAAGAACAGTGCACTCGGATCATACATCTCGTTGGCCCGTCCATAATACCTCAGGTCCCCCAGCTGGTATTTGTGGACGGCACCAGACACGGAACCCCGGTCATACACTCTCAGGAACCAGTCCAGATACGACCGCGTGAAATAGTGGTGCAGACGCAGGACCTTGTACGACCGGTTGACGTTGCGGTTAGTTTCACGCATTACTGGCCGATAGCGTTCGTCAACGGAGTAATACCCACTGTGGAATATGATCTCATGAATATCCTGAATGCCTGCGACGCGTGCCGGCTGCACAATGTTCTTGAAGTTGTTGGACGGGCGACGCATACGGAACGTGTAACCCTCTATCGTGACCATCTCCGGAGGCAACATATGGCTGCTTGTACCAAACCTGAGCCACGCGAGTGACACGCCGCCGTAGGCATCGTATCTCCGCAGCACCTGCGGCAGCTGCGTACCTAATGGCGAGAAGACAAACTCATCCATGTCCAGCAGTGCAATCCACCTACACAGTGACAACAGACAATGCAGCACATGCACATACACACACACACACACACACACACACACACACACACACACACACACTCACGCACTCACGCACTCACGCACACACACACACACACACACACACACACATACATACACACCCACACACACTCTCATGCACACACACACACACCACACACACACACACACACACACACACACTTGTAGTTGCTCACTGTCAAAACTGGTCACGTGGGTCTCCCTGGGAGAGGGGAGAGAGACTCAAAAGGAATCTTGGAAAGATGACTCAATTGGCCATTGAACCACCCAACGGCCGACACCCCCTGAAATCCCCAAAACTCTGGGTGGACTTCAGGCGCGTGCCCCGTATGGGTTCCTGGGTGCCCGGAACCCCCCCCCCCTTTTCGCTGAAAATGCAGGATTTTGCTTAATTTTTTGAAAATTTTCCAGGGGAGGCCCCCCGGAACCCCCCTCCCCTTGAAGGGCACCGGCGCACGCACCTGGACTTGAAATGATCCCACTTATGGGCTCACCACACCTCAGTAAGTGGGTGAGGACCGTTGAAGGTGCAGAAAAAGGATTGACAGCATCAGGGTATCCGTCCCGGGATCCAACTGCAGGTACCCCTGCCCCCAGTGAAGGTAATACTTGGTACTAGTGTGGGTGGCTAAATCAGAGTGAATATTTGTATTTGTATTTATATCATTATCTCATGGCACATCATGATGACGGCCAGTAAAACTGAGACAAGGGTGAAAGCCAACCACAGCAGTAAAACAGATAAAAGAATACAAATATTAAAAAGGCAAAGAAGGCAAAGGAGGAGACCAGGGAGTCGTCAAATACCATATAGGTATTTGACGACTCCCTGGAGGAGACAAACCAGCAGGATATACATGAAACCTATAATTGAGCAGAGATTTTAGCAACAAAATTATCCATCGACGTGCTGGTCTTGGCCTGCGTTGGTAATGTTGCCCATTTGAAACACATAGCAATCAAAGATCGGGATCTAGTGAATAGGGTGGAGGCAGCGCGTGGGAGACTGAATGAGTTCCGGGTATTCCGTGTTTCGGAGAACCAATTATAAGCCTGCATATGCAAAGGTATTTTATTTAGTAATATTTTATGTATGAGAACACAGAGGTGGTACTTATGTCGAGTGGAAAGGGGACTGATCTTGGCAATTTCGTAAAGACTAGCGGAGGGAAAGCGACGATCTTTGTTAAATAAGATTTTAAGGAGCATGCGGTTATGGGTTTCTAGCTTGTTCAATACAGTAGTAGTTATGCCAGACCAAGCAGTATCACAGTAGTCAAGTAAGGGCAATATATAGCAACGATAAAACAAGCGTTTGCAAGAAAGAGGAAGATGTCTACAGTGGGCTTGAAGAGCCCCAAGGATGGAGCCTGTGCGCTTGCAGACATACTGCACATGGGGTGACCACGACAATTTAGAGTCAAAAACAACGCCAAGATGCTTATGCTCTTCAACAATACGAATAGCAACACTTGAAGAAGGAAAACAAAGTGGCAGGGAAGGGGGAGAAGGGGAAATGTACATAGCTGCCGTTTTATCAACGTTTGGCTGCAACTTCCAATCATGCATCCAGGTTATAACCTTGCCAATGCTATCTTGCATGGCTTCGTGCAGTCGTATAGGGCAAGCATTGGAGCAAAGCAGAGCTGTTTCGTCAGCGAAAAGGCTGACACCAGGGGCAATATCAGGGAGGTCATTAATATACAGGAGAAATAGCAGTGGCCCAAGGATTGAACCCTGGGGAACTCCAGAAGTAACGGGTAAAGGCTCCGATAACACAGTTGAGAGGCGAACAAGCTGATGTCGGTTAGAGAGATACGATGAGAGCCAGCCGATAGCCTTGCCATCAATGCGATATACTGTTCGCAGCTTAGCTAAGAGACCCTGTGCCAAACAGTGTCGAAGGCCTTTGCAAGATCGAAGAAAACTAAACCAACATGGTTATGGGCGTTCCGGGCGGTGTGGATGTCTTGCACGAGGCGGGTAACCTGGTACCTGGTGGAGTCACCCCGACAAAAGTCCGACTGTGCTGGCGAAAGTGAAATGCGAACATGATCATAAAATGATGTCATATACAACACGTTCGCACACTTTTGATAAAGTAGAGAGCAATGAGATAGGGCGATAGTTGCTGGGGGTGGTGCGTGGTCCTCTATTTTTGTAGGTGGCCACGACTACCGCAGTTTTCCACATGGCTGGGAATTTCCCTTCGCGAAATGACATATTCAAGATAATTGACACAGGATAGGCAACAGACGAAGCAAGAGCTCTCCAAACTTCGTTGGTAATTCCGTCTTGACCAGGGGACTTGCCAGTTTTCAGATTAGGCCACACCAAGTTATTTCTATGTTTCGCGTCACCCGCCCGCGTACCTTTTCAAATCCTTGCCAAGAAAAAAAAAAGAACCAGTCGATGGCTGTTCTGGCGAACATTCTCTAGCCAGTATGGCAGATCAGAGGTTATCAGCTTCTCGATAATCTTGCATTCCAGGCGATGGTACGTAGAAGGTGCGAGAGATGAAATTTTCTTTTTTTCCAAGCCGTGCGGTAGGCCTAGGGCCTGCTCACCAAGCGAGCAGAGATTCCAGGTGTCAAGGACTTCGAGATTTTTCACGATTGTGATGGAGCGGGTTCCCACTCGACTCATGTCAAAATGCAGAAGGAGCCATCCATGAAATGTCTGTATAGCTCCAGCCCAGTCTGCCAGCTGTCCTGTGACGACTTGTTGTCGTTTTGGATAGAAGTGACAGTTTAGTAGTGGTATTCTGTGTGCAACATGGCTCAGTACACATAGAATGGAGTTTTGTTTTTTCTTCTGTTTTTTTTTCGCCCGCCCGCGTGCCTTTTCCAGAAAATATCCGACGCGAAACATAGAATTAATTTGGTGTGGCCTTACGGAGATATTTCCTCACTTGGGCTGTACCAGTCGGCAATGATAGGAGGGACACAGGTATTGAGGGTGAAGGGGTGAGTGGTGGTATAGGCCACGTAGGGTCGTCAGGAAGTCCAAACGACGTAAACTGTGTGTTCAATATGTCTGCTATGTCTGCGGGATCTGTTACTACCGTGCCGTCTGAAGCTGTCATTGATCGGATCGGCTCCCGACTACAGTTCTTACGGATATGGCGGAGAAATTGATGGAGACTAGGGCGATCATGGGAAGACAGGGTGGCATGAACCGACTGTACATACTGACGATGGAGGGTACGTGACAAACATTTCACTTCGTTACGCTTGCGCTTGAAGGCAATGAAGTTTTCACTGGTTGGATACTTCCTATAAATGCTATACAAATCTCGCTTCAGTTTCACAGCACACTTGAGGTCCGGAGTGATCCAGGGTCGGGATGAATCCCGCATAGAAGAATGAGGCCTAATGTAGTCTCCTGTCCGCGGAATAACTTTGTAAGGCAACAGATGACGATGGAATGCTGACTGTAGTAAAGCATCAAACAGGACAATGGCATCATCAACATCAGAATGCCGATGAAGTAATGACCAGTCCAACCTAGACAAGTCTTCATTCACAACCTGCCAGACACGGGTAGGCACTTGTTTATACCTGTACTGAGCCTGGGGATGGAGGGACGATTTAGCAGTCGCTTGTGGTGTCGAGCACGATGCATAGTTGAGCGTACAAACAACCTGCAGATGATCAGATGTGCCAAGCGGAGCTGCGTGGTCGACTGAGAAGACATGTCGGGGTTTGTTGGTTACCAACAAGTCAAGACACGAGTTGGCACCCGCTGATGAAGTGTATGTTGGGAAACTCACTAGTTGTTGGAGCCCAAGCATTGAAAAAACTGTCTGTAGGTTGGTACCGGCTGTAGAGGTGGAGTCAGAAGAGCACCAATCATTATGTTTGGTATTAAAATCCCCTGTCAGGAAGAAGTCACACTCGTCATAGCAAGAGGACTGTATAGCATCGACCAGCATATCCGAGAAGAAGGACAATTGTTCCACCGTTTGGGAAGGGGGTCGATACATGCAACATACAAGAATAGGGTTAGGGGTGCATTGAGACTTAACTTCCACCCAGGTAGATTCACAGCCCTGACGCTGCAGGTCGGGTCTGTGGAGAATATGTTGAAAAGCATCAGTCCGGACAAGCACGGCGACACCACCATATCCTCTAGTGAAAGAGTGTGCATTTCTGTTCTCGTGTGCTGGTCTGTCTCTTCTGAAACAGGAATAGCCTGGTACATGCACGGAAATAGATGGGCACAGCCAGGTCTCCGTGAGGCAAACAATACTCGACTTAGTGTTCTCCAGAACAATCGAAAGTTCAGCTAATTTATTGACGAGAGACCGACAATTATGGTTATCAGCGTTAGGTCGGATTCTGATCTGGGGTAGAATGGGGTAGCATGCAAGTTGAGGGAAGACATAGACAACATGATTAAGACGAGGAACTATCACCACCACGTTCAGTCACGTTGGTACCGTCGGCAAAGCGCCACTTACGGACGGTGTGGCTAATTGTTGCCGGCCAAAATCCTGTACTGAGTATTTTGCCTTCATCCGTCGCTAGGACAGTCAGTCATGCATATGCTGTACCAAAGATCCGGGATTCGCTAATACTGCAATTGAGCACCTCAACCTCACGGTCCTTGCACCAGTCAGTGATTGCGTTAGCGCTACACTCCATGTGGACATTGCCCACGTAGAACACAGATTTCGCGACTTTTTCTACGCCTGTGAGGATGTTGGGGTTAGCTGGGGCCACAGGCTTCACGTACCGGGACGTGACCCGACACCGTACAACTTCGGCCCAGCCATCCGAACTGCTTCCCGTATATTCACTTGTACTAGTTGTAGCCAATGTTGATCTGGTTGGTGCAGCCGGTGGTGTTTCAGTGCGTGATGAGGTCTGGTGTACATGTGTCGATGTTTGGGAAGTACGGGTACGGTTGGTAGAGTGTGCATTGGAGGGAGGCCGAGTGACGGGGGTTTCCCTCACCCCAGCCCCTCCAGTACCTGAACTAGCTACACTACTGTACGTTGTACTCGGGGTTGTAGATTGTGCAATCAGGTTTGGACTCCCGCCTTCCTCAAGGTGTATCATCTTCGCCACGAGGCCATCAATGGTTGCTTTCATTTCTCTAACTTCAGCCCTCACCATCGTCTACACGGATTTCAAAAGCGTCGACCTCCATTTTGAAAACATGGTGGCTGGCTGCGCTACCCGTAGGCGCACGTGCCCACCGCGTGTCTTAGCGCGAGCTTCGAGCTAAAGATCATGTCGCCCACTCATTTTCCCGTGTTTCCCCATTTCTTCGAACTCGCTCAGCTTTTGCTTCAGCTGTTGCTTCGCTCGTGCTTCAGCTCCACGCTGTAGTCTGAGTTTAGTTCTCTTGTCTTCTTCCAGCAGAATACTGCAAACTCTACAGCACGTCGAGCTTCTCCTAGAAGAGTTTCTTTTGCGTCGAGGCAGACTGTCGATCGTTTCAGTCCTATCTTGCCGTCGTCTCATGAGCGCCCCGGAAAGCAACAGTATCTATTTTCTTGTCGTTCCATTTTCTGGCGAACTCATTCACCTACTACTTCTTCCTTTATGAAAGCTTCAGGTGGCTGAGTTCTCCCACTAGCGACAATCATGCCTTGGAAAAGAACAGGATATTCCTAAGGTATATACAGCCAGTGCAGTGATGTCAGTGTACTGCACTGCAAAAAGCACCTGCATGTACCTGTGTACTGCGCGTAGTTGTTTGTTTTGTCGAGAAAGAATCCCTTTCGCACTCGCGCGGGCCGCGAGGGCGCAGCACGGAAACAGGTCTATTGAATTCATTTCTTGGTCGATTTTGACAACCAATACGTCGTTGTTTTTCTTTTTTCACTGGCTATCTTTTCTCCGCTTCCGAATTGCGATGTCGTCCACCTGGAAAGCCTTGAAGTGAAACGAGTGGAGGCCGGTTTCGGAGGTAATTTTCGGCCAAACGGCAATCAAATCGAAAAATTCGAAGCGGACGATCTGTTGGTATCTATCGAAAGAAGACGTTGGTCCATAAAAAATCTTTGGAAACTACGCCGTATGAACCAAGGAATTACGGTAAGTTTGAGAATTTTGGTACATTAGCTGTACGCTGATTGGTCGATTAGCGCGACCGTTGAGAAACGGGCCAGTGACGCTTTGTACAGCGTTGGTGAGGGCTGAACTTCCCTATCCCTGTCCTCCCTCAGCTGAGGGAGACCATTTCCACAGTTAATGCAGTGATAGTCGAGGACAGTGCACTGATAGAGCTCACTAGCGCTGGCATACCTGATTTGCCGATGTCCATGGCGCGAAGTTGAAGTGCAAGGTCCGGTCGGGCCAACGAGTCCACACCTGCAAGTCCTGACTTGTTGGCCAAGTCACGAATCTCCCCATCCAGCAGCAAGGCCAGGTCCATATTTGAGTTCTCCACCATATTAGGGCTGGGACTTGTTCCAGGTCCACCTATAATTACAAAAGTGGCCGAAAGGCTATTCCATAGAAGGAAATGCAGGAGCTAAAAACTTGCTTCCTCACGGCTGTTCACGTGCAGGCACTTATCAATATGGCGTCGTTCGGTGCGATTTATGTAATATTGTGCGAATAGTACAAATACGCGATGAGTTTGCGTTTTTGCAAGAAACTCATGTCGATCCTCGCGTGGTTCCACGATTTGGGACGCGAAACCAAGAGAAAAGTTTCGAAAGCGCTCGAGCGAGATACTCGACTTTTCGGCAATTTGAGAGAGAAAGAGGGTGGAAAGGCGTCCTGGCCTGCCCAGTTAGCTGTCTTTCCGCTTCAAACTTGCTCGAAGTACTCCTGGCAGTCTGGAGATTGATCTCGCCAGTGATTGTCAGCCTCTGCTTGGCGTGCTCGCATGTACAACATTCAAGTTAGACATTTCGTAATCGTTCAACGCACAATAGGGTAGATATCACAATTTCAAGCTCACTTGGCCGGCTGCTGTCTTCTTCTACAATATCCCACATGCCGACTAAGCAATTTACAGCAGGAAGCAGCCTTCTACACTCAACAGCAACTAAAGGGCCACACCATTTTGTCTTCCAAATCAAGAGAAAACAGGCTCCTGACTCGTCGCGCGTATTTAGAAGTTCACGCGCGTATTCTAATGACACTTGGGGAAGACAACCAGAGGATAGTCCTCTACCTGGGAAAAAATCGATCTAAGCTGGGAAAAAATCGGGAAGGGCTTCTCGGAGCCGAGTTTGTCAGCGACGACACAAGGAGTATTCCAGAACGAAGCCAAAGTCGCACGACACAGAACAAATGTTTCTTGAAGGAAAGGCAGTCATGTGAGGTACGAGCGGAAAGCTTGAAACAAGACGCAGATGATCAGCGTGTTCCCCGGGCTGTCCGGGCTGACTAGTCTCCAAAATCCAGTGGAAACCATGGCCTACTCGTGTTCTGACGATTTGAAAATTCAAATTTTCTTGCCATTGAAGCCCAATCGAGACTTTCGGCGGCCATATTGTTAAGTGGCGTGAAATCGCACAAAAAACAGCCGTGTCCTACTCCTACGACTTTGTGCAACGACCTGATATAAGCTTCACTAGCACCATTGATTACACAAGAGTTAATCTAGCCAGAAGCAGTCCATGGTTAATGATAGCTTGCATAGACCTCGGTCCTACCGGTAGGACCTACCGGTAGGACCATCATACACAGACATGCTGCATGGCCTCTGTTCTAACATTGACCTAAAACTTGACCCTAAACTGTTGCTAAGGGGCTAATGAAGGAGTCCACACATTTTAGACGTGATCGCACAAGGCATACTACGAAATTCCATGGTAACAACCCATGGTAACCATGGAAACGGAGTATGGTATTATGCATTCCACGGCCTTGGTAAGCTGATAAAAACATTAGGACCTCACCACAATTGATGTGCCATGGTCAAAATTCACTTTGGACAGAGTTGCTAGCGCACCGACAGGATTATGTGCAGCCATTTTGACAATCGATAAAATTGCGCATACGCAATGCACTGGACATAATCTTGCATTTTGCGCCATTACTTTGCCTGACAAAGACCTCATCTCAACAATTGTTTCAAAAAAAATTCTCAACCAAAAGCACTTTTGCAGCTCAATTTCTTGGGTCCTACCGGTAGGACCCGTGGTCCTACCGGTAGGACGGTATGCAAGCTATCATTAACAGGTATGTATACTTCAAATAGAAAGTATATGAACCCTGAAACCACACACACACACACACACACACACACACACACACACACACACACACACACACACACACACGCACACACACACACAACACACACACACACACACACACACACACACTTGTTCACTGCCAAAACTGGTTACGTGGGTCTCCCCGGGAGAGAGACTCAAAAACAGAATCCTGGAAAGACAACTCAATTGGCTATTGAACCACCCAACGGCTGACCTCCCCTAAAATCCCCGAACTCTGCCTCCCCCCCCCCCCCCCCCCCCACACACACACACACACACACACTCACACAGAGTCAGCAAGCGCCTACTACTTTGAGGGAATCTTACAAGGAGCAAATATACACATGCGTCCAGCATAGGATATAAACAGCAAAGGCCTTTGGGTGTTTTGTAACTCCATTGCGCTACATACATTATCATAATTATGTTAACCAAGCACAGCACACAATGCCGGAGTGATGTTGTGGGCAGCATTCGATTGGAAAACTCTACAGTTCAGATAATGTTGCCGCAAGGCCCGCGAGGCATCAATAAACGTCTCATAGCACACCTGATGCGGACTGTTTACTGTAAAACCGGAAAATTTCGGAGGAGATTTACTTTCAGTAACTTCGGTACAGGTAATTTTTACCTAAAATAAAACGCGACCTAAAATTCAACCATGCCATGCCACACAGTGTGCAAAATGCAATTTCGGATCTGGAAAACTGGTTTACCGAAATTTTCGCGTCACCGAACAGTTGATTTTGGGAAACACCGAAAATATTACACCAGCGAAAATTCCCGGTTCTACAGTACTGTGTACGGAGAAATATTCGTCTGGAATTTAATTTCGTCTATTTCGTCCAAGGAGCTTTTGGACAGAATTAAATGCCGGACCGTAATGTCGATTTGTCCAGCTTTTCAGTACACTCTTATAATCCATGGACGGAATTTACAACCGGACGCACTCCCTTTCTTTGGAGTTGGACGAAATTATTGAGCGACGGAATGTTTCTGCCTGTAAAGTACTTACTTGGCTTGACAACGGTAACGGGTCAGAGCATCCAGCACAGCTGCCTTCTGCGAGTAGTTCTCACGCACGCCATCGTAGGCAACGCGAAACTGGCTGGGGAAGTCGTGCATCGTGACCTGTCCACGCTGAATGTATTTAGCTAGCTCTTCCTCAGGGGAGTCCGTGCTGTTGTTGTTGTACAAGTAGAAGTGATCAAAGCCGACCATCAAATGGAAATCGATCCATTCCTGAGCAAGGGTTTCAGAAACCGCAAGCATGTTCACACAGACAAACGCGCCCAAGCACGCACGCACGCATGCACGCACACACGTGTGCATGCACAAACACATACAAACACACACACATACAAACACACATTGATAAAGATGTAGAACATTATATAGTTTTGACTCGCCATCGGTCAGATAGACCTTTCCGTAACTACAGGGATACCACTACCCCCACTGGGTCAAGACACGGCTCTCAAAATGGTGGGAGGCGAGCCTTTCAGATTCATCAATGAAGAGGTGAAAGATCGAAAACCTCCTTAGCTGCATCCCAGAAGAGCCCCCCCCCCCCCCCCCTTCCCCCTAGCCCAGCATACAATGAAAACGTTGCGTTTAGAAAGCAGGCCCGTCGCACCGACTTCGGAGGTGGGGCGGCCATGGAAGGGGGTCCGGGGCCCTCCCCCGGGAAAAAATTTCAAAAAATGAAGCCAATTGCAAGCATTTCCGGGCATTTGGTGCCATGTCAGTGTACGGTAACTACAATGAAAGACTTTTGATTCTGCAACAAACCAAGAAGACGCTACAATCGGGGACAAACACTACCCTTCCCGGGAAAAATTCAAAAATTGAAGCCAATTGCAAGCATTTCCAGGCATTTGGTGCCATTTCAGTGTAACTGCAATGCAAGACTTTTTGACTCGGCACCAAACCACGATCGGGGACAAGGATTTGCCACGTTTGTGCTTAGCTGCGATCATCGCGCTTTGTTGCAGTGTGCTCCATAAGGCCATCATTTTTTATATCTATGTTTCGCGTCGTCCGCACGCATACGTTTTGATTTTTTTCGGAAAAAAATCAAAAAAATCAATCATGCACAGTTAGTGTACGATCGTGCGAGTCATTGGTGTTATAATTATGTGGACTGGTTGCATACGGCGAAACTGGGATTCAGAAATGGCCTCGAGGCCAGCGTTGGTAAATCGTTTGTTCGGCATCTGCGAGCAGTATTCTACGAGCTTACAACAGACCGCATCGATCGCCTCAAGCTGAGAGGATGCGTCGTTCCGGAGCTCTTTGCACCGCTGTTGAAGGCTGAGTACAATAATCCAGCGAAGCAAGGGCACCAAGGGTTGCCTCCTCTGTCCAAAGTGATGCAGATTTTGTGCTTCGATGCACGATTTTTCTTTCGGATGTACACCAGGGATGAATTTATCTGGTATCGCATCGCAGTTTGCTACGCAAAATCGATCTACTGCTACTCAAAAATCACAGTGGCACGCAGAAAACTGCAATACATACATGTACAGGCTATCCATGCTTTTTGTAGCTTACGCCACAGTTGAGATTTTGCATAGCAAAAAAAAGAGTAAAAAGTAAATTATCGTGTCCGTTCCCGAAGGGAACTCACGGCGGCCGCTAACACCCGATAAACCCTAGCGGCAGATGCAGCGCCTAACGGTGCGGGTGAGTGGATAAGTCTCACAACCACTGACACAAGTGCCGAAAACGACTCCATTATGCATAGCAAAAACTGCTATGCAAAACATGACAGTAAATTCATCCCTGTACACCATGCACTAGCTATTGAGTATTGTGCTATGTACAGTTCTATACACCTCTGATGAGCCTTTTTTATTATTTTGCAACTTTTTATTTTTTTCCACCTCTCGCATATGATTCTGGAAGTTGAACTGACGCGAAACATAGATAAAAAAATGATGGCCTAAAAAAAATTAAAAAATTAAAAACGGCTGAAAAAGTGCCCCAGCCGCGCCGGCTGTGACGGCCTTGGAAAGAACAATCAATTGGTAACCTTGGGATTAGAGAGTAAACAAGCGGCGGACGGGTACGTACATTCAAGTATGGCTTCATGTTCTTGAAGATGGTCATCATAGCAAGGTGGTATTTCGGTGGTTGTTGACATGGCGACACTGGCACAACCTGTTTGGATCACAGCAAAGTCCAGTACGATTAGTAAAGGGAGATTTCCCTCCCACACAGATCCCATGATCTACACACATTTTGGCCTCATTCTCATCATACAAAAAGCCCACTGTAAACTCCGCCTCCTCATGCTTCGTATCCACACCGCCAGAATTAGCAAACTCCTGTCTGAGCACCTATGTCGACCAGCCTGAAAGTGTCACTCGGATCAATGACCCCAATGCGTACGTTGTCCCTGCCACCAGGCGAGTCTCTGGTGACTGTCGGCCCCACTCGTTTCTGCTGTTAGATAATGGAATGTTCTGCCCCAAAAGTGTAAGTCCCTCGCCTGCCATAGATCATTCAAGAGATGTTTGAAGATTTATTTATGGTTAGCCAGCATCTAGGCTTGGAGTCATCCTGCTAGGTGACTCCACTTTGTTTTTGTCTTTGTTTGTCTTTTGTTCTTTCCTCCTTTTTCCCTTGTACCTCTTTTTTCTTTCTTTTTTTCTCTTCTTTTTGCCAAGTGTCTGGCAGGATTCTGCGACTAGCTTCATGTCATCTGCTTTCTTTCATCTTGTTAGATTGTTAGTGCGTGTGTGCTTTTGCCATCTTGCTGAAGAAACACAGAGGCAGAACAGGATATGGTATGTTTTTTACTTTGTATTTATCTACCGTATCTCCATTACGCGAAGCTGTGTAATAATAATAATAATAATAATAAGTAATAATATTTGCCACGTGAGAATTAACTTTGACTTGACGGGCATCTTGCAGCTTCATCTGCAGCCTTGAAAGTGTCTTGTGCAGTTGACCATTTTCAGATGTGATAATAGACGTCCAATATGCCGGGTTTCGTTTGCTGTCCTCACTTGGCTTCTACTTCGCACCTTTCTCTATTTACCACTCCAGCATCGATGTGTAGTTTACAGCGCAACCTTATCAGTTCACCTCTCTTTCTCTTTGTGACTCTGTTGAATTAGCACTTCTGATAGTTGTGTCTGGCAGGGTTCATAACACCTCCATTCTACACTATTCGGCTTGTGTTACAGGGGCGTCGCAGCCGGTCCGGCCGGACCACTTTTTCGTTCAACCACAAAAAAAGTGCCCAAACTCGATGCAGGATTTTGCACCCTAATTTCACAAATTTCCCGGGGGACACCCCGCGCCCCCCTCCCCCTCCTGCCCAACCACCTCCAACAGCAGTGTTACGCGCCTGTCTTAGTTTGTCACATACATGTATGTGTGTTAGTTGAGTGTATACAACTTGCGCCAGTATCTAATGATAGCTTACATAGACCTCGGTCCTACCGGTAGGACCATCATACACAGACATGCTGCATGGCCTCTGTTCTAACATTGACCTAAAACTTGACCCTAAACTGTTGCTCAGGGGCTAATGAAGGAGTCCACAAATTTTAGACGTGATCGCACAAGGCATAGTACAAAATTCCATGGTAACAGCAAATGGTAACCATGGAAACGGTGTATTGAATTATGCATTCCACTGCCTTGGCAGACTAATAAAAACATTAGTACCTCACCACGATTGATGTGCCATGGTCAAAATTCACTTTGGACAGAGTTGCTAGCGCTCCGACAGGAGTATGTGCGGCCATTTTGACAATTGATAAAATTGCGCGTATGCCGCAATGCACTGGACATAGTCTTGCATTTTGCGCCATTACTTTGCCTGACAAAGACCTCATCTCAACAATTGTTTCAAGAAAATTCTCAACCAAAAGCACTTTTGCAGCGCGATTTCTTGGGTCCTACCGATAGGACGGCATGCAAGCTACAGTAAAACCTGTAACTAGCGACCACCGTGACTAGCGACCACCGTGACTAGCGACCACCGTGACTAGCGACCACCGTGACTAGCGACCACCGTGACTAGCGACCACCGTGACTAGCGACCACCGTGACTAGCGACCACCGTGACTAGCGACCACCGTGACTAGCGACCACCGTGACTAGCGACCAGCCTGGTACTACCGACCACTTCGTCAGGCACGGACGGTCTTACATTCAAAATGCACTGTGACTAGCGACTACCTGCTGAACGCGACCAGCGACCGCCTTTTCTTGTCCCAATGTCGAATTTTGACCCGTAACTAGCGACCGCGATGTAGGAAATCAAACATTGCTCGAAGCTCCTTCTCGAAATGTTGATGATTTTCCATGGTCCTGAAAAGACTGTTTCGATACTACAGCTGGACAAATGAACGCAGTCTTATTTTGACTGTGGAATCAGTGTGGACTGCACTACACCTGTCATAATTTCAAGTGCTATCAAGAACAAACATGATAGGAAACATCTTGGAGAGCGCAGCCAAAGCGCTCTTTGATCGATGTTACTACTCGAAGGAGAAACTAAGACTGAGCGGCTCTCTGTCGAAGTGCAATCACACAGCTCAGTCACCAGGTCACACTGACAGTCTGTGCTGGCTAGCTAGCATGCTACGGTATTATGTACTCACCTGTACGGAACACAGGCCAGGATACGATGGCGGATACTACAGTCTACAAGGAAGGTGCGAAAACTCGCAACATCGCTGCATCACGTACATGTACATGTAGATCGAGTACTGGTACACACCAGCGCAAAGAAAAGCTTCAACAGGGAACTCTTGACTCCTGGCTTCAGAAGTAGGAGCTGAATTTAATAAGGACGTTTAGCAATGCGAAAGTTCGAAAGAAAATTCGAGTCTGGGAATGAGTACAGAAAAAAAGCTCGAAACTTCGAAAACTTGGACGCGAAGTTGCAGTGATTTGCGAAAGTAACTTTCTCTTTTCTCGGTACGCATTTGACTACAGGGAGTAGTAATTTTACAGCGCCTGCTTGAGACTGAGCTGCATATACGGTACGGTACTATAAGATACAAATAACTTCAAGAAAAAGTCATTTCGCATTGCTAAACCTCACAAGTTTTCTTTTTCGAAATAGATTTTCGCGAAATATCACCACCACAAAAAGTTCGAATTTTCGCATTGCTAAACGTCCTTAATGTCTGCAATACAACTTGATTTTCTCTCTCTCTAAGTGCTGTATGAGCTGAAAGAAGAATGTCAGTGCGCAAGTGGTGGGGGATTGCATTATCTGCATTTTGACATACATATCATATAATAGGATCCATATATGGTCACGCGGTGCAAACCTCTAACTAAAGACCACCTGCCACTAAAGACTACTTTTCCGGGCACCAAGGGGTGGTCGTTAGTTACAGGTTTTACTGTATCACTAAATCCTCTGTATAAAATAGTATTCTCTTATCCAACCCTGTTCATTCAACATCTGCTCTCCTCTGATGAGTTCCCCCACTACCTTATGGAACGAAACAAGCTTGTCAGGAGTAACTACTTGCTGCTCCCCCCCCCCCCCCCCCCCCCCCCACGGGCCCCCTCTCACATGTCCAAGAGGTCATACAAATAAATTGAGTTCATGTCTCTGAATACGTACTGCCACAATTGATATTTGACACTAAACAGAGCCTGGGCCTGGGAGACAGAGATCTGAACGGTTGGTTGCAACTCTGAGTTTCACGCTGAGCAATCACATTCAGAGTTGCAACAAACCGTTCAGACTTCTGTCCTGTTCTTTTTCTTGAGACTATCATCAGGTTGTTGTGAGACGATTTTTTCCCCGGTGATAGTCTCAAGAAAATCGATTAGGAACTTGGGCCTCAATTTCAACATATTCTCTTTGTTCTTTGCGTAATGTCCGCTTCCCTGGTACTATTTATCGCTGATTCTATCTGTATTTATAATGTGAGACTCATGCTTTACAGTCCTTTTGATGTGTGAACACAATATGGCCATGTAGCTTCAGTTATCCAGAATATTCATTCACTTGTATCCACAACACTTAACCCGGCCAAGGGTGGCGGATAACAGCCACACAGCTGTACAGCCAATGTATTGAGGAGCGGGAACGTGCAACAGTCTGCTTATACTCAGACATGTACATGTAAGCAGTGCTGTACTGGCATTCAATGACCTGACGTTTCACTTCACTTGCCAAGTTCAGTTGCCAGTACATGTACTCACTGTTGCAAGTTACATGTATGCCTACTGCACCCATGTACTAGTGCCTTGCCTAATCTTGGTTATGCCATGTCACATGATAATCACCATGGTAGAAGCCACTCACGATGTACATGTATTTAGCAGGGCACGTAGGTTAAAGTCAATAAATAGTCGGCGCATATCTATTTTCGACTTTTTTCGGCCTGGTCATGTTATTCATTGCATTCCCAACTCATCACAACCACGCGCTCTTCAGCCGAACCATACAGACACCAGCAAGGACACTTCCGTTGAGAGATAATATTGTTCCACGCCTCTAGACAGCTGTTTCGCTCCCTGTCGGAGCTCATCAGTAGAGGATGATAATGGAGGAATTGAAAATATGGCCGAAAGCTCTGTCGCAATATTTAGTTCTGGTCATGTTGTTGTTTGGCGAAAATTGGTTGCGGCCGAAATTTTGTTTTGCAAGGTTCAGTGTGACAGTGCACAGGCGGCAGCAGTACAGGCCGAAAATTTGATGTGGCCGAAATGGGTTTTAGCCCCGGGAGGCCAACATTCGGAATGGGCCGCGAATTTGTCGACTTAGGGTGCATTTGGTTGGTACGATCTAGAACAGGATCGAACAGCTGGTGCGCATGGAGCAGCCTCATGCCAACCCGAAACGGTACTCCAGAAACAGAGCACATTTTTGTGGAAAATGTGTCAAACTTGGTGCATTCTTCAAAATGTGTATGGGTCACCATGGTCACTTTGTACGGTACGACGAGTCCAACCCAAAAAGCGTATGCACGTGACCATTTGGGACCAAAATCGATGTTCCCGCCAGGTTTCACTGTGAAAAAGTGAAACTGCTTGGTCTGCTCCGGGATTGAGGCCGGAGCAAGCAGAACATGTTCTGGCCGACCCAGAACAGGTGCAGTCCCAACCAAACGCGCTGTTCTGGTCAATCCTGTTCTAGTTCGTACCAACCAAACGCGCCCTTACACTACTAGTTACAGTAGCGTGTTCTTTGCCCTGAAAAGCAGATATTCTCTACGGGGTACCCTCCTAGGTGGGCAGATATATTGACGATAGGTGCTCGCCTACCTAAGAGGGCAGACATTGACGATATGTAGCCGCTTTTTTTTTAGAACTGGCATGGTGCTATAATATTGGTGGTGGCTTGTCACAAGCGAAAGTACCAAGAAAACACATTTATGTGTCTATGTACAAGTACTCTACTCAAGCATACTCATGTACCGTATTATCTCTAATATAAGCACGGTCCTTTATTTTTTCAATGTACCTCCGCTCCGTGCTATTATTGGAGACGTTCCTTTATTGGAGACTGTTCCATTATTATTTCAACCTCATTTCAGAGGCATGTTGCCATGCCAAATTTATATGTCAGACACACACATTTCAGGGTTTTTTCGCCGGTACAGATAATGAATTTACACAGTGTGCTTTTAATGGAGACTGAGCACTTTATTTTTTGAATGCCGCCCCAAGGTGTTCTATTATTGGAGACGTGCTATTATTGGAGACTGTGCTTATATTAGAGATAATACGGTAACTGGAGTACCATACTCAGGTACATGTACTGTCGCTGGAAGTAACACGTTAGTTCAGACTTCAATCTTCAGTCAGTTCAGAGCAAAGAAAAATCTAAGTTTAGGCCATGGTAAAAATTATCTTTGATTCTCAAGTACGCGCGCACCGATTTTTGGCGCCGCACTGATGATTTTTTTTATTTCTATGCATGCATATGTGCGCATGAAAACGGTCAATGCAAAAGGCATGAATCCGGGAGTAGTAAAATACCGGTATTTTTCTACTCCCTGGCCTGAATAATAAAATAATTATATGAACCTGTGACGTACATATGTGTGACCCTATCTTTGGAAATAAAAAACTGTGGGAAATAAAATAAAAAATCGCTCGCTCGCACTGATTTTCACAGGCTCATGACCTGAGAATCAACTTTATTTTTTACCATGGCCTTATAGCCTGTACGGTGTACCTACACAAGTACTACATTGTAGTACTAGTACTAATGCTGTTTTTGCGAATGTGGTTGGTTTCGCCAGCTGGGTACCGGTGCATGTCATAAAATGAAATCAAAACATCCGTACTCAGGTAGGTGCGACCAGCTTCGCTGGTATGTATTCGCTGGTCTTGTCGTCGTACTACTACTAGTACTACTCATGATTGACTCCATACTATTATTACTTATCATTGTAAGGGGGTGATTATATGTGCAGCTCCAGCCCGGGCTGGTCGACAGGCGGGCCAGCCCGCCTGCAACGGGATCTCGGGGTTGTACACAAATCCACACAAAACCTGTGGTGCGTTTACATGGCAAGCGGGCTGGCCCGGCGAGGCGGGATCCCGCCTCGAGGCACCCGGGATCCCGGCTAGGCGGGCCAGAAAAAGCACACATAAACAGACCAGCCCGGGCCAGAGTTATATTATTATGGTGTGTACACTGCGTTCATACTACAAAATAGGTACTTTTACCTTTTGGGGGTAGCTATAAAGAGGATTCCCGATATTGTCTTGAAAATCTATGAAGCTTTTTGTACAGCAACAAGAAGGACGTACAGTGAGCACTGTTTATTTGTCGACATGCATGATTTACATTAACGTGGAAGGGGAACTACTTGCAAAATACTTTGATATGGACAGCTAAAAATGTGAAAAACAGGGAAAAGAAACGAGGTGATACAACACACCAAACATGTGCCACAGCGCGAAAAGAAATCAGCAGAAGAATACTTCAAAGTACATTGTATGAGAAAAAAAGTTTTTAGGTATAACCTGAGTATGGCCTGCAGCCCTGCGTTTCAGCCCGGGGCAGCACACTACAGTCGTAGTGTATTTGCTACATACTCACAACGGGCTGGCGTGTGCTCAGCGCATATAAACTCACTGCGGGCTGGCGACCAGCCCGGCCTTGCACATGTAAACACCCTTGGCGGGCTGGCCCGCTTGCTCCAGCCCGGGCTGGAGTTGCACATATAATAGGCCCCTTAGACGGCTCCGGGAAACTAACTACTACTAGTAACAGTTACTTGTAAACTAAGTTAGTATTCGTCTAACTAACGTGTTACTTTACTTGGCTCTCCATCCGAGTCCAATCTCCATACGTTACTAGTATAGCGTGTACGTAATCGCTCAGTCTAGGACTCAGTCTCCATGGTCTCAGGTCTTGGAATAGCAAGCCGGAAGGTGCAATCGCGATCGTTTCCGGTACCGAAAGGTGAAACCACCTAGCGCCTAATTACACAATTTTCACACTTTTTCAGTCACTTGACGAAGTCAATACATGTGCAACCTGCAATCAAGAAAATCTCAAGTCATTGACTGTTGACTAAGTCTTGAACAGCTCTCAGCTCGGCGGAAAGGTCGGATTGACACAAACTGGTTGTCGGAGCTGTCAGCACATTACTGACTGCACCGGTCTGATGCCGATCAGCATTTCTCCGACGGTACAAACTGATATGCACACGCGGCCTGATCACAAACGCGCGCACACACACAAGCGCGCGGGCGAGCAACACAGTCCGACTCCAAGAGCACCCTGCTAGCGTTACCGACAACGAGAACCTAACACAAACAGCGCACCACGCCATGCAGCAGGCTTCAAAGACAACACGACATGCATAGATCCCTGTAGCGCTAGCTCCAGCGCTCAGCGGCGATCAAGGCAAAAAAACTCATAGTCAAAACGAGAGAGAAGCTAGGAAAGTATCGTATGATTTCGTACCAACAACACACCATTCAGTGCACTCACCCGCATTCCGTAGAATCGTCTAGAAAGTCCGCTCAAACTGAACACTCCGCGCAGTTCAGCTACACCGATGGCGACCGTCAGCAACACGGAAATTCCTATCAATGGGCACAGGCAACTGATACTGCAACGTGCTGCCGCCGCTCGAACTGAGAACGGGCTGCCGAATTGCATCGTGGCGACTACCTGTCGCTACAGAAGTGCACAAAAACTAGCGACTCTATCTTCTTTCCCGATGCGGCAAGCTAACCTACAAATAATTGTGCTGTAAGTCTTGCTAACAAACTTACTTCGTCGATTGTGTCATCATGGTCATGCGCAACCGTAAAATACTAGTACTTATAGTAGTACTATACTAGTAGTAAACTAATCTTCCTCAATGGACAATACCTCATTTTTCTAAAAGCACTTGCACTCGACTCGTAGATCTGGTAGATCTACTCGCAATATTTTAGCATGACACTATCATCATGATCATCCATACTCATAGTCATACTATTACCATTACTACTACTAGTACTAGTACCGTAAAATCCCGCCAGAGCGCCCCTACCTCCTCGACGCTTCAGGCTCAGGTGGTCCCCTCCCGGCCCTCCGAGGGGAGGATGGGCGAGTCCTGCTTGCCGCATTCAGTGCTACATGAAAAAGTACTCACCCTACGAAAACTGTTCGTGCATCTCGTACACCGACCAAAGCCGGGCAACGGTCAAGCAAGAGCCACGAGTCGTACAGACCCGTCAAAACTCGGGTTTGTGCGATCCCTAGCCCTGGTCAAGAGGGTACCGGGTGGGCACTGTTGCGTACACTTCCAACGGGGTTGAACACGCGTCTGCAGTAGAGGGGACGGCTCGATACCGGGACCCTTTGACAGCCAAATTTGTATAGACCCCGGCCAAACCGATCATCAGCGTTGATTCTTCACTCGAAATATGTTTGTGGAAGGAAACTGGCATGTTGAAGTTTGCCCTGGGGCCAGAGTTAATTGAACTGAGCCACTCCTTTGTGTTGACCCATTGCCTCCAAGTTGCCCAATTTTTCGCTTCAAAAAAGTTCAAATCAGAGGTGGCTTCACTAGTGACCGGACACGTTTTAGAGTGCACGTCACTCTGGGTCTGAAATTAGGTAATTGCTATCGCTCCACGACGGCCAGTACAGAGTAACAATAAGCCTTGTGTGTGCTTCCATTAGTTTTGATTGGTATGCGGTACGTGCTTTATTGGCGAGAGGCGAGCCGCTGTTTACCTGCGACAAGAAGTTGATTTTTCGAAAGTCGTAAAACTCAAGTCGCAGTGCGAAGCAACACGTCAAAAACTCACCTGCTTGATACCGTAGAATCCCGCGGATAAGCCCACCCGCGTATAAGCCCATGCCCGCGCATAAGCCCAGGGTTTGTTCGAACATCACACAGCTTCATCGTACAAGCCCATGGGCCTAGTCATACCGGGAGTCCATAAATACATGTATTATGGACTATTGCCAGTATTGGCCATATTGCACAGTGGTTTTCAGTTTTCAGCAATGTACTTCACACTTCCTTGATACTTTTCAATAGCACAACTATTACTTGCATGGTGTCGGCGTATAACTATAAGCCCATGCCCATGTTCTCGTATAAGCCCACCGAAATGTCCTTGTGAAACCGTTATCCGCGGGATTCTACGGTATGCATATATGGCGCTTCTGGTCATCGCATGCGCAGAGCCATGAAATTTTGGCTCGGAGTATAACACATCGTAGTCTCACTGTGACATTATGTTTTCTAATCAAAATACCAAGAGAGAAAGTGAATATTGAGTCCGTTCCGGTTTGCAACCTGTGTCCTATTTGAAACCGTCCCCTCGTCAGTACGGCATCACAGACGTAGACTGCGACCGAGATACGAGAAATCACGTCCCTGACAAGCAGGGAGTAGTACAATACCGGTATTGTACTACTCCCTGACAAGAAGTCAGGCCAGGGAGGCCGGGCGGATAGGAGAGACGGGGCGCTCTGGCGGGATTTTACGGTACTACCGGTAGTATTTAAATTTTTAATTCTTTTAAAGGAAGTAACATGTACATATCAGTCCTCCCGATTCGGAAGTGAACATCTTTCGCTTCCCGAGTTCCTTGATACCTATGTACCATGATCCGAGATGATGTGTGCGAACAGCAGAAGAGAAGGGCCTACGAAGAACGCGTCAGGGAGGTGGAGCATGCTTCCTTTCTCCCACTGGTATTCAGTGCATCTGGTGGGTGCGGCAAGGTAGCCCACGCTTTCCTGAAGCGTCTTGGCCATATGGTTTCGGAGAAGCGGCATGAACCCTACTCCTCCGTCATGTCCTGGATCCGCTCTCTTGTCTCCTTTGCTTTGGTTCGATCCTGCAACATGAGCCTCCGTGGTCACCGTGCTTCTCCCTACCGCAGTCGTTTGGATGCTGCCACTCCTGTTGTGCTGGCAGTCAACGACTGTCAGTTGCGTGACTGAGACTCTTGCGGAGTAGCCGTGTCTAGCCACACTTTTATTATCCGATGATCTTGTTTTGTTTGCTCTGATTCCGTGATTTTCTGTTGGTTGCTTTTCTGCTGTGCGAATAAATGCAGTGTCGACAGATGATGTGTACTGAGCAGCTTGCTACAAAGAAGTACAATGACTATGTAGATTGATACTACTACTACCGGTATTAGTAATCATAATCACCACAGACACCAGCATCACGGTGTAGTATCCCTGCTTTACAGTTTACACATGACCAGTAGTACAATGTCATGTATTTTGCATGACTCTTATTGTTTAGAAGCATACAGTACTTCCTACATTTACGATTGTTCTTCCATGATCTTTGCATGGCGCCACTGGAGAGTAGCTAGACCAACACTAATTATCAGTAGTCTTCATTGTTTCCGAAATACAATACTTGTGCCGCTATGCTTAATTTGCAAGAGGTCCTTGTGCAGTTGTATGGACTTTAAATATCTTCACTGCGATATCAGTTTCATGCTCCAATGCTTCCTTTGTAGCACTGAGGCGTGCTGCGATTAATCAATGGCATTTCCAGATTGCTTGCTACACTATCACAATACTCTCTGTAGTTGTTTTGCTGCCTGCTGCTTGTTTCCCGCAGCTGAAGCTTCCTAGCTGGCCCCCTTGCCAACGGCCTTGTTAGATTCTGTATAAGTTCTGAGTTTGTATCTCATACGTAACAGTCGTGGTTGATTGAGAGCTAGCAAGTTCACTTAGGAATATTTGATATAAGATAACCTCCAGGCCGTGCCGGAGTAAGTTCTGAAACGTTCGTTGACTGACTGTGGGTAGTTGCCTCCTTGCCTTAGACCACGTGACGCACACTACAACCGTAGATCTACGCGCGTTTGACATCTCGACATCACTACAGTATGTCGATGACTACAAAGAAGACCATGACGGCATGAGGCATGAAGACCGCGTGGTGAAGAGGAAACAACTAGTAGACTAGTAGCAGTTGATGTCTCGAAAACAGACTGATGTTTTACTTTTCGAAGTACAATGCACAGTACAATAGGACCATGATCCAGTGCAGTATCCACATTCCAGCCAAGTGGCAACACGTCTTCGACTTTGCCTTTGGCAACTAAAGTAAAACAGTCTACTACTTACACGTCTACATGGAGATGTGTACCATCATAATAATTATGTACATACTGCTACGACTACCGTACAAGCACAGTCAGTAGTAGTATTTACATGTATGACAAGTGCGGTTGGACATGTAATTGTTACATGACTACTACTACTAGTACTTCAAGTATTGTATTGTCAATGTCATTGTTAGAAATGAGCAGCTGATGATGACCGTGCGGCACGTATCAGCATCACTATCACTCGTATTATCAGTATATCAGTGCCTGGCAGTGCCTACAATAATAATAATTGTAGGCGCCTCCAAAACAAGCAAAACGATCACTTGGGCTGCCAGGGTTCAGGCTCACGGTGTCGTGTCCGAGCGTTGCTATCTGTACCACCAAGAGTACATAAACCGGTTTATGTACTCTTGGTACCACTACCAGTCCTGTATTTTCCTCCATGACTAGCATAGTCTATGGCATCAGGTACAGTACTACCGGTACATGTACATGTACATGTAGGTATTTGCTGTGTACGTACTAGTATCAGGCGTCGATGAGTCTTGGCAAGACTAAGACTAAAGTCTAAAGTCAGTAAAGAGTAAGAGTACAGTCATAAACCCGTGGTTATGGCTTTGTCATCTTGATACAGCTGTAATCAAGAGTCCATAACCCGGGTTATGGACTCTTGCTGTAATCATAAAGAATGTATCATCAAGTTTTAAAAAAATCATACTACATCACGCAACTACGTTACGAACTCGCACTTGTTTAACATGATTGTATTACCGTGTATCAGTTTATAACAAAAATTGAAAACCCATAATCGATTTTCTTGTTCCTATCATCAGTGGGAAAAAATAAAAAAAATACACGGTAATACATGTTAAACAAGTAACGCAGTTGCGTGATGTCTGCGGCCTTCATCCTATTCATAGCTATACAAAGTACAATGACTATAAGTGCAAGTAGACAATAAAATATCTAATTGAGTGATTTGTCGTACAAGTCACGTAAACCATGCAGGGCAGCGTTGCACAAACGTTGAGGAACAAAATACGAGCGACAACGAAGGGATGGGATTGTACATGACTACTACTACTAGCAAGAGACCCGGCAGTGCAGAGTACAATGGTAGCCAGATTATGTACTCTTGCTACTAGCAAGAGGCTGCCAAGAGCAAGAGTATTATAAATCAGTATTATACTCTTGCTCGTCCGATAACCTCCCTGGTGGCTCTTCAAGATCTTGCTACTTTTTGTTAGCAAGAGTCGATCCCTAGGCCCTGGGGATTATCAATTGTTTATGGAGTCTTGCCCTTGGTAGAGTCTACTAGCACTATCAAGAATAATTATTATGCTCGGTTCCACTATTTATTCACGCTGTAAAATAATTTTGCAAGAGAACTTTCAGTTTCAGAAATGGAGGTCTTGAAAGAGGAAGAGAGAAGAAAAATCGTTGTAAACTTTTATGAGAGTCATGTGGACTATGGCACTGTGAGGCACTTTGTGGATATGGGAATAAGCCGAAGGAGTGTTAAACAGTAACAGCATTTTGAAGAAGTATGAGCCGGAGATAGGAAATACAAAAAGAAAAAAATGGAAGTGGAAGAAAAGCTGTACAACTGCCTGGTCCTAAGAAGAACAAGTTGCTCAAAGCCGCCAAGGAAAAAAGGGTGTGACACAGGCAAAGCTTGCCCTGAGAAGTTCTCAATAAGCCGCCGTTATGTTGGAAAGGTGCTCAAGAGCAATGGGATCAAACATTATAAACGTCAGAAGTGCCCTGCCACGCGGACTGGTCTCCAGAGCCTGAGGCCGCCGTCAAATTAAATGCCTGAGGAAGATGAACAGAGATCTCTGTCCTCCATCATCACCAACGGTCGTCATCATGGATATGACTCTTCAATGATCAAGTCACAGTTCCCTATCGACATGATGAGATGCCAGGAAACTTGATGTTTCTTCACTGACGACAAGGAAAACACGCCACCAGATTTCAAGCTGAAGCAAAAGCAAAAATTTGCTCCCAAGGTCA